CTCTGCCCTCGCTCAATCTCTTCATAGCGTGTAGCGGTACCCACTCCACTCGTCTCCCTTGTCCTGCTTTGCCTCGGCGACGCTGCCATACGTCCCGTTGCGCGCAAGTTCAGTCCTGTGCTCGTTCACGCCCTTGATGATCTCGTCCCGTTCTCCGCGCTCGCGACGGGCATTCTCTTGCTTGAGGAAGTACCAGTAGATCACCGACATGACAAGCCCAATGCCGATGTACATCAGCACAATTCCGTGGCCTAGCGTGTACCAGGGCGCATCCTTCGCGCGATACTGATACGTCCAGCGCAAATCAGCATCCGGTCCCTGTCCGAGAGGACAATCATAGGTACGCACCACATTTGACGAGACAGCGCCATTGATGTTCCCGAAACTTATAACCATCGCCAGGGACACACTGCGCTTGTACGACCCTTCGACATTGTTCGACACCCAGGCGATGATGTTCGGGATCGTTGGATAGATGCCACACGCCGCAAGATACACCGCGACGTACGACAGAGCGGCATTCCTCGAGGCGATGAGGATAATGTAGCCGGCCGCTCCGACGGCCAGACAGAGCCTAGGTTCCGAGTCAGTATCGACCGTTACTAGCGATCCGTGGCATTTCGAAGACGCACATCGTAAGGTAGCCACGGCAGCCGTGTCGGTCTGCGATGAATCCAACGACGCAGGTCACAATGCACGCCACAGCGTACACAGGCACGGTGAGCAAGTTGGCTGGGGTTGCCTTGAATCCTGTATCCGCAGTCAGCGATTGTGGCACTCCGATTGCAGCGTGCTACTTACCGAGCTGGTTGATGATACTGGGCAGGAACAGCGAGAACGCGTAGAGAGGACCGTCGGCGCCCATGTACAACAGCACTGTTGAGTGCGTAAGTCAGTTTGCAACTCCTGCTAAAAGTGATCCTACATGACTTACTGCCGACCCAGGTCTTCCAGTCCAGCAGACTGCGCCAGATGTAGTGCCACTTCAGGTTCTCGCCCGCAGCGCTGTACTGGTCGTCCGACTGCAGCCGGCGGATTACGACCGTACGCTCGGCCTCGCTCAGGAACTTCGCGGTGTCCGGGAAGTCCTGGATGATCCAGAACGACAGGATGCCGGCGACGACCGTGACGAGGCCTTCGAGGATGAAGATCCACGCCCACGCGGGCTTTCCGCCGATGCCGTCCATGTTCGAAATCGCCGCCTGTACATTCGGTACCCCGAGACGTCGTGAGCCGCGCGAGGTTACACCGCGTACAGGGACGTGGAAGACAAGTGGCAGGAGAGCATGCGGTGCTTGGTCAGTTTCGGGTCCGACAGGCGTGCCTATGGGAATGTACGCACCGCGAGCAGTCCACCGAAGGCGCCAGAGACTGTCGCCGCGGAGAAGAAGATGGCGGCGCGGATACCGAACTCGGAGCGTTTGTACCAGCTGCACCGCACACGCAGCCTATGATTAGCCGCGAGAATCTCGGCAACCGGTTGCGGAGCACGTACCAGGAGAGATAGTAGTTCACGCCTGGGAATAGGCCTGCTTCGAACATCCCGAGCATCCAACGCATTCCTGTATACGGAATATGAACGGTCAGACAAAGTTCCTTCGGGAATCGACGTGCAAGGAACTGATAACGCACCCAGCAGCCCGCCATAGTTGTGCACCAGTCCTTGCACGGTCTGGAGAGGAGTCAGTGTCGTCGGTTGCAGTAGAGTGGATCTGATAGCCACCATCATGACGCCCCAGAGGAGCATGAGAAGCGAAAGCCAGACCGAAGGCCTTAGCCGTTTGAGGAAGACATTCGATGGCACCTCGACGAGGCGTAAGCATCGTTGTGTGTACCCAAGACAGACGTCCTGCTCACCTCGAATATAGCGTACGAGAAGAAGAATATCGTAAGGGCAAGGTCGTATTGCTTGTCAGTCAAATGCAGGTCCGTCGTCATATGATACAGCTGCCATGATTACGATGCAGTCAATACACACACACCTGACACAACCGAGGCCTCAAACTCACCTTGGCGTTCCCAATACTCGTTCGGTCCAAGAAACTAAGCAGGTATAGGAAGGACAGCCATGGGACGAGGTAGAGGTCGAGCTTGCGAAGCAACTTCCGCTCGTCCACCCCGCTGACGTCGACATGCGGATTGTACAACGGCGCTTTCAGGCGCTCTTCGTCTGCGCGCTCTACCTGGGATACTCGACCCTTCTCGTCCGACGAGTACGTCGACGCCGCGGGCGACACAGCGGGACGTGTCTCCGTCGTCGGTTGGGCTTTCTCGGGGTCTACTGAAGGCATCTTCACGAGCGCAGGTTGCAGCGGCGATGGACAGTGAAGCGTGCAGCGTCCAAGCGCGGCGGACTGAATGAGGAACCTGGAAGAAGAGGGCGAGCAGCTCGACTTTCGCCTGTGGGAGGATGCACCAGAATTTAAGAGAAGCGCTGTCGTGCCGGATAAGCAGCGCGGCCGAGCCACGGGCGCACAATGTCAGCGTCAGCGCAGGGTTGTGGAGGTCATGGGTTGCACCAATTTTGTCAGGGAGGAATGATTGGGATCAGCGAGAGGGAGCCAATCCAGGCACAACGTTCTCGCATCCCTGCGTTTACGTCCCCCGCAGACGGCTGCGATATGCCGTCGCGGCCGGCTTTCCTGAGAATGCGGACGAGGTTTGGTGACAACCGCAGAGGTCGCGCACTTGCGCAATACGTCGAAAGTGACTGCTGGCATCAGCGGACAGGACAGGTCGATGCGGGGCGCAGGCCTGTGGCGAGACAGGCGAAGGCTCGCGCATGAGACCAAAAGACGACAAACGATTGGTAGAAATCGATGACGATCACCTTCTTCAAAGTCTCAAATGTCTTGATAACCCCGCGGGGTGCCTCTGGCGCAATGTTTAGCAGGCGGGGCAACAGCGGGGTATGGTCTTGGCGGCGGCCTTAACAAATTATTTGTTACCGCCGGCTTCCTGACAAGCTCTTGGCGCATGCATTTTGAGTTTGTTGCCGCAGCATGTGTCGGAGACGTGAGGTACAACAGCCTGGGGCTGTTTAAGTTCTGCACAGTGTCCGAACCATGACATAGTATGATGTAGTTCCTCACAGGATGGATTTGTACATGGTGGAATGCCATAGGCCCAATTCCCATTACATCCCCGGTGGAATGGGACGATTCGATGGTGAATTTGACATTAGAGTGATTTTGAAGTAATGAAAAGTGGCGCCCTCGTAAGTAAAGTGGGGCGCTCCATAATGTAAAGTGCTGCGGGGCTACGCGGGCGCTTCATTCTCGGGAGCAAGCGCCCGGTAGCCCGGTGCGTTTGTACGGGATGGGTGCTGTGACCTTGTGTACTACAGACAGTTTCAGGATAGCTGAGCATACTCAAGAGCACTGTACAGTTGGATAGTAGCACAATGAACGACAAGTGGTGGAGTTGTACGATGCGACATGTCTGCCCGTCGCTGGGCGCCTAGGAAGTCACTACACGCCCAGGCGCTTCGAGCTCCACTTCATGCAAAGTGGGTTGGCGTATAATGTAATGTAAAGCTACTTTTCATTAATTCAAAATCACTCTATTCTCGAGCTCGAAGGTGTCAAGCTGGGGGAACAGTCATGACAAGTAATCCGGACCGTTCGGAATTTGCGTTCCGTGGCGGCCGCACGTCCACTGCTGTGCATGTCCAGAACGTCAACGCACCAAAGGCAGAGTTATTAGGACGACGGTCAAATCACTGTGTATTTGGCTGACACAAGTTACTGTGCTTTGGCATGCGACTTCTTCGCAGCTAGCCTCTGCTTGTCCCACTCCTCCCTCCATCGCAACCACTGCGCTTCTGTCCCGCTGTCGCCCCATACCGCCCACCCGTCACGCAAGCGGAACCAAGTTGACACCGGGTTCGTCAGCAGCGCTGTGCGGAGCTTGCCCAGGAAAGAGCCAGGCGAGCGCCTTGGGATGTACTCGACGAACGTGTAGTACGTGGAGCCAAACACGACGCCGATGGTGAAGCCCCATAGGACTTGAGGGATGCTGTGATATGACAGGTAGTACCTATCGTGAAGGAGTGTGAGCCCGGCCGATTGCGCACAAATCACACTACCAGGTACATACCGTGAAAAGGCGACTGAACCAGCCCAGGTGATTATGAATGTATAGAGTAGGATGTCCCGTGCGTAGTCGAGGATGCGGAATCCTGTGGAGACGAAGCGGTGCTGAAGAGAAAAGTGCAAGATCAAGAAGCTGGCGAAGTATCCCATCCACTGGCTGTGCGACGAAGGGAAGCCATATCCATCACCTAACTCCTCTGCGACCCGCCCCGGGTCAATTACGATCGTCGCACACTCTGGGACTAGATGGACTTACTGTTAGGACGTTCTTCCTGGATGATATGTTTGAGCACGTAGTTTGCGCATTCACATAGCATCTGCCCGGCCCACATCTCAAAGAATAGAAGCTCACGCGTCCACACTGATAGAGCAGCATATGCAGGCTACAATATCCATCGTTTAGATGAGCCACACGGGAGACTCCAGCACGCAACTCACATTAAGCAGTATGGGTGTGAGCGTTAGCAACGCCAGTGCATGTGATAGGATAGAGGAGTCATTATCTGATCGGGCACACTGTCAATTCAGATGGTTGGCATGAAGAAATAAATCAGCAATAGGGCTCACATAGAACGTAGGTGAGGTCTAGGGCAGCTCGGGATTCGGCCGCTGGTTCGTTGGGCGACATGTTCGGTCTCAATTGTTATTGTACCGCTTGCACCATTGACACACGCAGGTTACTTCAACCTAGGTAGTAGTGTAGCTAGCTGAGTCGTAAAGGGAAGAGAGGCGGAGATAGGTACGTAGGAGATGGCAAGGAGCAGGAAGTTCGACGGTCGTGGTCAAGTACTGCGTCTCCAGTACTGCAGTGGCTTTGGTCTATGACGTGTTGTGCTATACGATGCATTGACAGTATGCCTTGGGCTCAGACAGCCTGAAGGTACTCTGTTGTCAGTCACATGGCAGGACACTATAGCCAAGTGGTTAAGGCGACAGATTAGAACTATTCACTATCTGTTTCCCTCTGGGAGCGTAGGTTCGAACCCTACTGGTGTCGTATTCTCTTTTTCTCGCCCTACAATTCCATGGCGTCGACCACTCTACTACATCGAGGAATTTTCACCTTGACTTGAGCCATAGTAAGCGATCCTCATGGTAATAGCATCGACTTTCTTATCGTATTATCTTCCCTAAATGCGCTACTTCACGGCGCCAGGTCAAGCTGAAAGTTGACACATGGATAGCTGACGAACGGCAGCGAGAATGTCTCGCAAAGGAACCGGAGGTCAACACGATATCATTCGACAATACCCAGGGTATGTGCAGCACCCAATATAATGTTGTCAATGAGCCTGGTCTTGCCGACCCACATCGCGCCGCTCAGAATCACTGGTCTCCCGGCGACATGCCCTTCCCACTGCTGCCGAGACATTGCGTCGGATACGACCTCGAACGAATCCGGGTCATTCATCTCGATGTAGTCAAGCCGCAAGTCGACCGAGCCGTTGACTTCGCGCTTCTTGTCCTCGATGATAGCCTCTGCGCGTCGGATGCATTCTGCCTTGGACGCGTTGCCTTCCCAAGCGACACGTGCAGCCTGGAGGGCGGAATACAGCGCGGGTGCTACCGACTCACGTTCGTGAGCGGTGAGATAGGCATTCCTGGAGGAGAGCGCCAGGGAAGTGACGGGGTCACTAATAAAATCGCATCAGCAGGCCGCCCGTCGCAAAACAATCATGACTAACCGAGTAGTGGGCACGATGATTAGGTCCTGGGGTTCCGGATGTGATAGTAGAAGGTCGCGTGTCATGCGGCGTAGCAGCAGGGCCTGCTGGATATCCTTCTGTCCGAAATAAGCTCGCGTAGGCTGCACGGTTCAGCATGAGCCGACTGGTCTCTAGCAAGAGACAAACAGAGCGCCTGACCTCAATGGCATTGAAGAGCTTGGTGACCACAGTTGCGACTCCACGGAAGAAGGTAGGGCGCGTTCTCCCTTCCATCTGGTGCCCATAGCCCTTGACCTCAACAAATGTGCCCTTTTGCTCTTCCGTATTTTGCGAAATCCCGCTGGGATACATCTCGTGTACCGTAGGCACGAAGACAGCCGAAGGTGTGCGCGTGCCTCCGGAGACAGAGACCGACAGTTGTTCGAGTAGCGCAAGGTCACGAGGCAGCGTGCGCGGGTATGTTGCCAAATCCTCATGCGGCGCAAATTGTGCCGGGTTCACGAATATAGAGAGGACCGTCAAGTCGTTTTCTGCAAGGGACCGTCTGACTATGGGCACAGCGATCAGCAATGGTAGCGGCGCATAGAAACACTGAATTGCACGCACCCAGCGAGAGATGGCCCTCGTGCAGAGCCCCCATGGTGGGCACAAAGCCTACCGACTTCTTCTCATCGTATGCATTCCGTCTCCATTGACGGTACGATGCCACGGTATCGAACAGCGGGATTGAACAAGCCGGAAGCGACGAAGACATTCTGGAGAGCCTCTGGTTTCGCGAAAGCGTTGTCCTTAGGCCTCGCAAGGAGAGCATGGGTGGTCGTGCCGGTCAGAGATGAAGAAGGGAGTCCGATAGTACGACAGAGGATATTCGGATCGTTCCATTGTCGCGCACAGAGGAAATATTGGCTGGCAGCAGTCCTCGCCGGTCGGAGGAGCAAAGTTGCCAGATCCGAGTGAGATCCGTGCGTCGATCACTCAAAAACGCGTCGCACGTGATACCGGATACACGCCCCTCAGACGCGTCGCGTGCTGCGAATATCCGAAGGCTTACAGAATTCTGCATGACTTCTTAGAGCTACGCTTCGAACAGCCCGTTGCCAATGTTTTGGAAAAGGATGTTTAAGTAGAACATGGAATTCTCTGGAAATCCCACAGTTCAGCCCCATCTCTGATCCCATTGCCCTACGCTATCTGCAAGGATCCACCACGAACCAGTACCCTCCCCAACATACACCAAGGACCAAGTATCCACCGCGTCGGCTCTCGGAAGGCGTGTAGGAGGTATCTTGTTGATATCTGCCGGTAGGTATGAGACGGGAGACATCCCTATCGACTGCGCAGTTACTGAGATAAAGCTCGGCGGTACAATGTCGGGTGATCTACTCAAGGATTAGAACCGCTTGGGTCACGCCAACATCCTGAACACGTACGTTATTGTATTAAATATGTTTTCAATCAAGTTGGAGGTGAGATAACCGTGCCAACGAAGGGTGGTAACGTCCCCGATTCGAGACCCATCAGGGGCATCGTATACGGCTATGTATGGATCGCAGCGATCATTCACTGATAACCTGTGGATTCTATGAGTTGGAGAGTATGCCTGTGGCAAGGCAAGGCAAACCTCGGAGAACCCAGAGCAGCGAGTCCAACCCATTCGAACAGTGACGAAACGGTGTCTTCCCAATCTTCAGCGTCATCCGCCCCATGGCGGCCTCCTGCAGAACGGAGCATTTCGAGGCGTAGTTCAGGGATTCTTCTATTCTCCCAGCGCCTATGTTCTTTGGCCGCGGAATGCTGTATGGTATTGGACGGGAACACGCCTGCTGGATATCATCAGCGTGACGAGGCTGCTATCTAAAGGAGGGATCAACCATCTGTTACACAATGATAGGATACTGTCCAAAGTCCTCTGGTAGAGTCCCATCTGCGGATTGCATCGGCTACCTTCGGGCCAAACGTTGTCCAGGCCTTGCCCCTCTCCGCCTCCGGAGGAGACTTCCGCAGCGAGATACGGATGACTGCGACAAGTGGTCCTGTCTGAGCCAAAGGATTATTGTTGTGATATCGAACGCACCATGCAGATGGCGTTTGTCTTTCCATGGAAGGGCTTGGCCTACGATACCTAACGACTCGTAGGTTTCCTTCCCAACAATGAGAGTCAAGAACCCTCGAGGGTCTATAGCCCACACGTCTCCACCATCCGTATCTGAGAGACCAATGGCTGTTATTCTCCTGCTCGAAAATCAATCATTGAACCTCTAAACAACAAGGAGTGAGGTATTCTACCTTTCGGAGGCAGTCTCGTCGAAATGAGACTGGGCGAAGTCCAGGAATGCGCTCAGAGTGATCTGGCACGTCCAATAAACGGCGTCCAGTTTACTCAATGCTTCCTCAAGAGGAGGACATGATGGAAATACAATATCAATCTACACAACGAAGCGTGCTTCGAGTCAGATGAGGGATGCGGGGTGGGGCAAAGAGTACCTTCCTGCTGAGTGAACGGATGTGAAAATGCAATTGCTCGCAATCTTTCCCTTGCCTCAGATGTCGTGTGACATGCGGCACTAGATACCAAAACGCGATTGTTCTCCAGAGCCACCATTGCCGGTGCAAGAGATGGAGGTCTGTTTCTGGGTTGTACTACTCACTGCTCAGACGAGCGCCGGACAATTTGGGGGAGATTTGGGCGCTCTAGCCGTGGTACGAGCCGCTGATGACGGTGAGACAGTGACACAATATATTACTATGTACTCCGTAGAGTCCTTACCGTACATGATGAATACTACTGATAGCGAACGATGAGATGATACGACTGGACAGCATTCAGGCTTGCACGGGAAGTATTGTACGCCCAATATCAAATATTGCAAGTTTCGAAGCCTCGCCCGCTCCGAACTACAGTACACATGCCTGTGTCATACATGCACTGGCTGAAGGCTCGAGCTTCACAGCCATAGCTTGTGCTCGTGATGGAGTTGGTGTGAGCAAATGGGAACATCATTGATAAGGGTACATTTCACTAGCGCACGTCGCCGTCCCATGCGTGCGCTTGCCCTGAATCGATCACCGATGCACGGTCACTCGCAGGGCGGCCTGCCCAGCGTCTTGGGCCAGGCTTGATCCCAACCACGCTCATAATTAAAACCTACTTATACAAGACGCGCTATTGTTCTGGTTCTGGTTCCTCTTGAATTGCTCAGACTCTCCGGAGCAAGCTCGACCTATCCACGTTCTCTGCAGTCAGCTGGACTTCACATGCGCCTTCGCCAAGCACTCCCGGTGGAAGCAGGCTGCCAATATTGGTGCAGCGCTGCAGCTCTGACAATGGCTTTCGGTCACTTGGGGCCTTGTTCCGCCTTCCGGGATCCCTGATGCGTGAACAGGGCTCGAAGACACGCTCAGATTGGCTGGCTGTTTACGTTGCCGCAGTCTCATGATGCCATGAGCACACTATGTCCACTTTCAGCCCGAGCCTGAGTGCCACTCAGCCACTGACATCTCTCAGCGCCTCCATCATGGCACGGCGCGGACTTCGTACTGGAGTCTATCGTTTAAGTGGATTCGGTCCCGCTCAGCTCCCGCTGCCAATTTCTCAGGTAATCAAGGCGCTGTCTGGAAGATGATAAAACCCGCCCTTCGCGGCTTCTCGCGAGGTTCACGTTCCTCGACCTCTGGCCCCTTCTGACAAGGTGAGACACGCTCCCTCGGCGACCCCCCAGAGGAATCGCAGTATTAAAGCGTCCCGTCGATAGCTCGTGTCGCCCCGAACCATGTCCTGCGTCGCGCTTGCTTGTTACGACGTTCTCGATGCCATCTTCGAGCACTTGGACGGTCTTGAAGAGACCTGGTATGACTACGATCCAACGATTCACGACTCGTATGCTTGGCATATCCGAGAAGGGTTCGTCGCGGGAAGGCGCACTCTAGCGTCTTGTGCTCGCGTTTGTCGATCCTTCTTTGACCCCGCGGTCGCTCGACTATGGCGGAACGTCGACGATATCTCTCGAGTCTCCAACTTGCTGCGCTGTGCGCCGTCGATGCTAGCGGAACCTCTTGCAGGGCATCTTAAACTTGGGAACGAAAAGGTTGCTCCGCTCCTTCGATTCTCAAGGGTTCAGCTCACCTCCCTCTACAGCTCCCAACTAACCTCCAACTTCCGCCTCAACTTGTCAGGGCTATGGAGTATGCGCGTCGCATCCGTGCTGTTCATGGGCCGCGCAAATTGTCTCGCTCGCACGACGAAACCTATTTTTTGCCCGCGTGGGTACCCATGCGACTTCTTCCACAGCTCCGGTGCATGCGCTTGAACCTGGATGTCTGCCCATCTACG